ACTTTAATCCCCCCAAATCCACTTTAATCCCCCAAAATCCACTTCAATCCCCCCAAATTCCACTGATTCCCCCCTAAATCCACTTTGATGCCCCCAAACCCACTTTAATCCCCCAAACTCCTATTTTATCCCCCCCCCAGTTCCCATTTCCCCCCAAATTTTCCCATTTCCCCCCCAAAATTCCCATCTCCATCCCAAGAAATCCTCGTTGACCACACGAAACCCATGTTGGGTTGGTCAGAACACACTTTATTCCCAAATTTCCTCCTCATTTCTTCTTGGATACTCCGACGGTTCTCCCGCGCCGACCTGTCGTCTTCGTGTGCTGCCCACGGACACGGAGCCTGGAACAGATTGTCCCCAAAGGTCCCCAAGGTGTCCCAGGTGATCCCAAGGTGTCCCCAAGATGCCCAAAAGGTCCTACAGGTGTCCCCAAGGTGATCCCAAGATGTCCCAGCTGATCCCAAGGTGACCTCAGGTGTCCCAGATGACTCCAAGGTATCCCCCAGGTGTCCCCAAGGTGTCCCACATGACCTCAAGGTGCCCCAAGATGTTCCCAAGGTGCCCCAGATGACTCCAAGGTGTCCCCAAAATGCCCAAAAAGTCCTACAGGTGTCCTCAAGTTCTCCCAAAGTTTCCCCAAGGGGTCCCAGATGATCCCAAGGTCACCCCAGGTGCCCCAGATGACTCCAAGGTGTCTCCAGGTGTCCCCCAAGGTGGTCCCAAGTGTCCCCAAGGTGTCCCAGATGACTCCAAGGTGTCTCCAGGTGTCCCCCAAGGTGGTCCCAAGTGTCCCCAAGGTGTCCCAGATGACTCCAAGGTGTCTCCAGGTGTCCCCCAAGGTGGTCCCAAGTGTCCCCAAGGTGTCCCAGAGGACCCCAAGATGCTCTAAAGGTCCTACAGGTGTCTACAGGTGCCCCCAAACCATCTAAAATGCCCTAAAAGTGCCCCCAAACCCTCTCAAATGGTCTCCAAACCCCCCCCAAAGTATCCCCAAGATGTTCCCAGGTGATCCCAAAGTGTCCCCAAGGTGTTCCCAGGTGTCCCAGATGATCCCTAGGTGTTCCCAGGTGTCCCAGATGATCCCAAGGTGTCCCCAAGGTGTTCCCAGGTGATCCCAAGATGTCCCCAAGGTGTTCCCAGGTGATCCCAAGGTGTCCCCAAGGTCCCTCTGTACCCCCAGAAGTGTCTCAGGCCACGATGAGCTCTGATCTTCTTCAATCTCTCCAGGTCCTCCCGAAGCTTATTGTCCAACCCGTTGGCCAACACCTGGGAAAGGAGGGAAAACAGGGATCAGGAGACACCTGGAGACACCTTGGGGACACCTTGGGGCCAGGGAGGAGGTGTCACCTGGCTGTATTTGCCATCCTTGACATCCTTCTGCCTGTTGAGGAACCAATCTGGGATCTTGTACTGCCGAGGGTTCTGCATGATGGTGATCACCCTCTCCACCTGTCGGGGCAGAAACAGCTCACTCACCTGGGTAAGGGTCCCCAGACCCCTCAGGAGCTTCTCAAACCTCCTCAAAGTGTCTCCAAACCCCCTGAGGTGCCTCAAACCCCCCAAGAACCTCCCCAATCCCCTCAAAGTGTCTCCAAACCCCCCTGAGATGCCTCAACCCCCCCAAGAATCTCCCCAATCCCATCAAGGTGTCTCCAAACCCCCCTGAGATGCCTCAACCCCCAAGAACCTCCCCAATCCCCTCAAAGCGTCTCCAAACCCCCCAAGAACCTCTCCAAGACCCCAAGAACCTCTCCAAGCCCCTCTAAGGTTCCCCAAACCCCCCAAGAACCTCCCCAATCCCATCAAGGTGTCTCCAAACCCCCCTGAGATGCTTCTACTCCCCAAGAATCTCCCCAATCCCCTCAGGGTGTCTCCAAA